AAACTGACTCTCTTTATTTTTAAATTGGTGTGTATAGAACATTTGTATGTATTGTAATTATTTATGTGGTGGAATTACAGCATCTTATCTTGCTGGCTGTTTTCTATTTGTTTTGCATGTTTTTTGTTTTTTTCTACCCTCTTTTAGATTATTTTCATAATTCTATTTTAATGATAGTTTCTTTAGCTGTGCAGAACCTCTTAAGTTTAATTAGATCCCATTTGTCTATTTTGGCTTTTGTTGCCATTGCTTTTGGTGTTTTAGTCATGAAGTCCTTCCCTATACATATGTCCTAGATGGTGTTCCCCAGGTTTTCTTCTAGGGTTTTTATGGTGTTAGGTCTTATGTTTAAATCTTTAATCCATCTGGAGTTAATTTTTGTATAAGGTGTAAGGAAAGGGCCCAGTTTCAGCTTTCTGCACATGGCTAGCCAGTTTTCCCAACACCATTTATTAAGCAGGGAATCCTTTTCCCGTTGCTTGTTTCTGTCAGTTTTGTCAAAGATCAGGTGGTTGTAGATGTGTGGCATTACTTTTGAGGCCTCCATTTTGTTCTGTTGGTTTATATCTCTGTTTTGGCACCAGTACCATGCTGTTTTGATTACTGTATCCTTGTAGTATTGTTTAAAGTCAGGTAGCATGATGCCTCCACCTTTGTTCTTTATGCTTAGGATTGTCTTGGCTATGCGGGCTCTCTTTCGGTTCCATATGAAGTTTAAGGTGGTTTTTTCCAGTTCTGTGAAGAAGATCACTGGTAGCTTGATGGGGATAGTGTTGAATCTATAAATTACTTTGGACAGTATGGCCATTTTCACAATATTTATTCTTCCTAACCGTAAGCATGGAATTTTTTTCTATCTGTTTGTGTCCTCTCTTATTTCCTTGAGCAGTGGTTTGTAGTTCTCCTTGAAGAGGTCCTTCACATCCTTTTTAGTTGTATTCCTAGGTATTTTATTCTCTTTGTAGCAATTGTGAATGGGTGTTCATTCTTGATTTGGCTCTGTGTTTGTCTGTTATTGGTGCATAGGAATGTCTGTGATTTCTGCACGTTGGTTTTGTATCCTGAGACTTTGCTGAAGTTGCTTATCAGCTTAAGGAGATTTTGGGCTGAGACAGTGGGGTCTTCTAAATAATCACATTGTCTGCAAATAGAGAAAATTTGACTTCCTCTTTTCTTAATTGAAAGCCCTTCATTTCTTTTTCTTGCCTGATTGCTCTGGCCAGAACTTCCAATACTATGTCGAATAGGAGTGGTGAGAGAGGGCATCCTTGTCTAGTGCCAATTTTCAAAGGGAATGCTTCCAGTTTTTGCTCTTTCAGCATGTTATTGACTGTGGGTTTGTCATAAATAGCTTTTATTATTTTGAGATGCATTCCATTGATACCTAGTTTATTGAGAGTTTTAGCATAAAGTGCTGTTGAATTTTGTCAAAGGCCTTCTCTGCATCTACAGTATACATCTTTAATTAATCATAATGTGCCTTCGAATATTATTCTATTACTTCACTTTTAGTGTAAGAGCCTTACAACAGAACACTCATTTCTTCTCACCTGTTTTATGTGATTGTTGTCATACATACATTTTTTTCATATATGCTGTAAGTACCCAACATATTGCTGCTATTTTTGCTTTCGCCAGTGAACCATCTTTTAGAATGATTAAAAGTAAGAGAAAAATATGCTGGGCACAGTGGCTCATGCCTGTAATCCTAGCACTTTGGGAGGCCAAGGTGGGCAGAATGCCTGAGCTTAGGAGTTTGAGACCAGGCTGGGCAACGTGATTAAACCTTGTCTCTACTAAAAATACAAAAAATTAGCCAGGGCTGGTGTTACATGCCTGTGGTCCCAGCTACTTGGAAGATTGAGGCACAAGAATTGCTTGAACCTGGGAGGTGAAGGTTGCAGTGAGCTGAGATGGCGCCACTGGACTCCATCCTGGGTGATGGAGTGAAACTCTGTTTCCAGATAAAAAATAAATAAATAAAAAGAAAAGATAAATGTATTTCAACACTTCTAGAGATCTTTATTTCTTTGTGAACATCCAAGTTTCAAATGTAGATAGGTATTATATTTCTTATGCCTGAGGAATTTTCATTTATTTCTCATAGTGAAATTATGGTGGCAATACGTTTTCTCAGTATTTGTTTGGCTGAAAGATCTGTTTCTTCTTCAATTTTGAAAATCTTTGTGCTGGGTGTAAAATTTTGGATTGATAGTTTTTTTTTCATGCAGAAATTTAAAGCTTTCACTTCATTGTCTTTTGACTTGCATATATTCTGATGAGATGTCTGCTGTATTCTTTATGTTTTGTGTATGTAACATGATGTTTTTTCTGTTGCTCCCTTCACGATTTTCTCTTTATATTTGATATTCAACTGTTTGGATATCATGTGCTTAGGTGTATCGCCTCCTCCTCGTCTTCCTCCTCCTCCTCCTTCTTGTAATTTATTCTATTGAGGTTCTGTGAGTTTTATGAACTTATGGTTTGATTCATTTCATTAGGAAAATCCTTTGCCTTTGTCTTTGCAAATACTACCTGTTTCTCTTTCTGTCTTGAATTCCAAGTGCACCTATGTTAGACTGTTTAATATTTTCCCATAGCTCTTAGATGTTGTTCTCTGTTTCCTCCCTTATTTTTATCTTTACATTTCAATTTTGCTAATTTTTTTGAGTTATCTATAATTTCAGTAATCATTATTTTTTTTTGCCACAATGAGCCTACTAATGAGTTCATCAAAGGCATTCTTAATATCTGTTACATTATTTAAAACAATTCTAGTGTTTCTGTTTGAATCTTATAGTTTCCATCTTTTTGCTGGAGTTCCTCAACTACTCATGCATGCTATTCATTTTTTCCTTTAAGGCTTTAATATATTAATTATATTAAATTCCCTGCCTGAGAGTTCCAGTATATATATTTTATCTGATTATTATTTTTTAAATGGTTATGTCTTGATATCATGTTGTTTCATTCTTGCTTCTTTGAATGTCTTGTAATTTTGGGTTGTGGGTCAGATGTTTTGTGTGACAGTAGAAACTAAAAAGTGTGCACACCTCGGGCCGGGTGCGGTTGCTCAAGCCTGTAATCCCAGCACTTTGGGAGGCTGAGGTGGGTGGATCACAAGGTCAAGAGATCGAGACCATCCTGGTCAACATGGTGAAACCCCGTCTCTACTAAAAATACAAAAAATTAGCTGGGCATGGTGGCGCGTGCCTGTAATCCCAGCTACTCAGGAGGCTGAGGCAGGAGAATTG